GATTTGTCTAGCTTCTATTTAGAACGCTTCTGAGAACACAAGGCAGAAGCGGGAGTGAAGAACCGACATGCGAGGGGAACAAAAAGTCTTCCGGACGGTAGCTGAAATAAATGAGTTTGAGTTGTTATTAATCTGACGTGTTGGAGGGCCACTGGCGCCCGTTTCTGGTCCTGTTAGCCGTTATTAACGAGCCAATTCAGGCCATGAAGGCCCAGGGCTTGAACCGGAACTCCAAAAGGCAGCATGATAGTATTCTACTCTATCCTGCACTCTGGACTGACATATAGACGTGAAAACTCGACCGTCATATATGCTCTACGGCATAGTGGCGTACGGGACGGTGACTTTCGCTGTATCAACCGCATTCACTCTCTCTTTCTTCAGTCACCTATCAAGGGAGTCAAAAAGATCGGAAGCAAGATACGGTGCAGTTGTCTGGCGCAGCATGAACCTGTATTTACGCGGGCAAATACCCCTCAATGTGCGGCATTTTTAATGGGAGCGCATCCCGAATAGGACATGCGGTGCCTTGCTCTAGCCCCCATGGTGATTCAGCGCTCCTACCACGGGGCTCCTTTAAGCGGCTCACGTGGACAACACGCCCACGGTTACAAACACTGACAGCTCCAAGCGGGAGGGGTCAAGGCTACGTGGGGTTAGGACATCGACTTTTCGCGGACAAAGATTGGCGTATCGCTAGCCGACAAAAACACCTAAACCGGAAATAGTCCCAAAACCTATTCCACCATTTATTGCTCGTTCTAGTGCTAAGGCATACACAAACACAGATGCGGGGCTCCATGGGACAATAGAACGCCGTATTTCGATCGCCAGACAAAATAAAAGTCGGAAAATGTTTGCTCGGGATCACCGCACTTTTTAAAATACTGGAGAAATTGAAGTCAAAATCACAATTTCTCCTCAACCTCCATCCCCCTAACTACCTCCACTTTGTGTGGAACTTTTCACAGACTAGTGAAATGCAACTGGAAAGCCCAGTTGTCATCGGTTTTCTCCAGAACTTAGCTGGACAAGATAGAAAGGGAAACAAAGAAAAAAATACCTGTCGGTTTAGGTCCTCCGATGTCAGATTGTTCAGCTTCCACAGAGCACGCACCATGGGCCAGGTGGCATAACGCAGGAGACAGCTAGCTGTCAGATAGTCGACGGCATTCGACAGCGGCATGAGGGTCACATGTATTTGCTAAAGGGTCACAAAAAGTGCATCTGGTCAGGCGCAACCGCAGAGGAAGAAAAATTCGGTCAAACGGGGTTGGGAAGAAGAATGTGCGTGTGGCTTTTCTGGCACACATTTGAAAAACAAGGCTTTAAGACTAGGAAAGGTAGACGGATAGATAGATAGATAATTGTATAGATATAAGTAGGATGAACAGGCGAAAACAAAGATCTTCGGAAAATCGAGTTGTACTCGTGAATTTTCGGACAAATATCACTTGTTCGTCGTCCGACTGATTGAAACGTGGGATTTGGGGTTTTTGTTAGGGCGACATAACGAACAGCCTTAGCAAGCAGTAGCTTGCAAGCTATAGCCGCACTCCAAGCAGGCTATCGATCGGCCTACACGGGCAAATGTACACAGGCCGTCAATCAATCGATAATTTGAATTTCCAGTTGCAGCCAGCCGTCGAGTCATTAACCAATCGCACCGGTGGCCGATCTTTAAGAGAATCTGATTGGCTCAAGAGGCATCGTTTACACGCGTTTGCTGCATTAATTTGTTGTACCTATGACACTAAAAGACTTCTGCTGTTGCATACATCTTGTCGTGTTCTTCCTTTGGGGACTCACCAAGGCGTTATTAGGCGGTGATACCTCGGCCCGGGGCATCCGTTGCAACAGTTTTGGGGGCAGAGTTTACAACGAACAGGGATGGGATTGGGAACGGACAGTTATGTTTTCCGACCCTGTGACTGTCTGGGAGGGACAGAAAGCAATGGGGGAGGACTTTGAGCCAAGTCACCCAGCTTTGGAACTAGCAGAATGATACAATCAAGACGCGCAAAATTACATTTAGAAAAGGGTAAGTCAACCCTATTGGTGAGATAAATGATTTAAGTTAGCTTGTGATTATAAATGTATGTGTAGTGTTAACAAAGCAGTATTGGGGAGGCTAAGAAAATCCAAAAAACATATATATTGACATTTAAAACGAAAAGGTATTTGGTACGTTGGAGACAAAAAAGGAATTGGTCGGTTTATTCATGCTGGGCTTTTTACCTTGCTACCCACCCACCCAGAAAAAAACTGAGCTTCGTAACCGTATAGAAGGCACACAAAGTCTGGTGTCCAAAAGGCAACACATCACACTCAGATATTGCATTTGTCTGTGTCAGTTGGGGAGGGCCCCTACCCACGAAAAAATCGCATTACAATAAATTGGTCCGAAATGCCCAATAAAATATATCCCACAGACGCGAAAAACTGGCATTCGTTTGAACTGCAGCTTGTCCTGTCTCTGGCAAGATATGGAAACAGGTGACCTCGAGGGTAATGCTGGCTAAATCAGGATTCATGTTAAAATTGAATTTTCTGATTAGCTCCACGGTCAGCATTAGACAACGGTAAAATTTCAAGGAAATATTCTTGTTTTCTGGAAGTTGGTGCAAGACCGTTTGTACTACACGGAGGCTTGTTCCTAATTTAAGGAGACATGTAAGCAATTCTGACTAATTCTTCTGGGTAATCGAAAAATGCGCGTTGGACTGAACATATTATCTGCAGTGTGCTGGCGCCCCTTGCTGCCTTAAACAAGTGCAAGTTTTCTGCAACTGATAGCTCGTGGCGTAGTGTCTGTAGATGAAAGCTCCTTCTGATACGTGTGTTGAGTTATCTGGTGGTTATTTGCTAACCTTGTAAAAGGCTTGAAGTCGTTTGAAAGCTCTGCTAATTTCGAACACGTTTGGATCAGCCTTCCCTTTAGTTGAAAACTTTATGCTGCGCAATTAAAATGGGAACAAACGAGATTGCATAAATGTAAAGTTTTGGCCACTAAAATTTATCTTGAATATTGCCTTGGAAGCATTTGGCTTTCAACATTTAGCATCAGGTAGTTATCACAACTAGATAAATCATATTTATCTCAGCGGACGAAAAATGGTTTCGGTTCTACAACAATGCACGTCAACAATGCAACATCGTAAAGGGGCGACTGTCGGCTGAGGCAATTCTAAACAACTATTGTTAAATAGACTGCACGGGTAGCGTTTAACACCGATAGCGGCAGTGATAAAAAAACTGTTGGAAATGCACGTGTATCAAATAGAATGTTTTACTGCGATTATTTACATAACCGTCAAAACGCCTTACAAATTAAAGTAACGCAATATAGAAGGGCAGTTTTTATATAACCATGACGTACTTTGTGTTACTAGTGAGAATTGCTGTGGGGAAAACGAATCCGTCAATTAAAAACTGCCTTTATGCAAAATACGGGAAAGGGAAGAATACGCAGCGACTCTCGTGACGTAGTTCGGAAAGTTATTCTGGGTAGTCAACCGACAAGTTAAACTATCTAGAAATCGTTGGCTAACTCCTGCAGGAAGGCCAAATCGCAGGCCAGATAAAAATGGACGCCATAAATAGTGGTACTATCAACTTAAATAAAGCTGCAATCATGACCGCTTCACACTAAAGGAAAAACACAAACTACAAGTTTTTAAATGTGTGAATGTTTACATAGTTCAAAGGTTGAATAGAGGGTGGACGAAAATATGATGATCAAAATGGGAAAAGAAATAATGCTTACGTCTAGAGGAGAAAGTGGCCGGGTAGAGAGCCAACGTAAGACGGAAAATCCGCCACACATTCCAAAGCAGTTTATGAGATTCACCAAATAGAAATTCTTCGGTGCAGGCAAAACCTCAGCATATACGTTGGCTTCTGCCTG